CATACTTGAGAGAAGTTAGTACATCAGCAACTTGCTTTGGGACTTACTGGTTTTTGAAATAGTGTCATTATGGATTAGCTATTGTGTGCATGGTTGTTAAATTTTCCAGTTTTGTATTGATTCTGAAGATATGTGCTATGTAATTATAGGAATTTATTATATTTATTAGCTAAAAGTAATTGAAACATCTGTAGAAAATCATCTGAAATTAAAACATGTAATTCAAGATTTTAGATGATTTAATTTTTAGATGTTTCAGTATATTTTTGGGAACAACTTAAATTTTTTTTTTTTTGGTGAGGAAGATCAGCCCTGAGCTGACATCCATGCCAGTCCTCCTCTTTTAGCTGAGGAAGACTGGCCCTGGGCTAACATCTGTGCCTACCTTCCTCCACTTTATATGGGATGCCGCCACAGCATAGCCTGACAAGCAGTGCGTCTCTGCGTGCCAGGGATCCGAACCTGGGTCGCCAGCAGCGGAGCATGCGCACTTAACTGCTACGCCACTGGGCCGGCCCCCAACAACTTAAATTTTTGACAAAGACATACTTATCCTTTGCAGAGAAGTAACATTAGTTAATCATTGATTCCTAATTACGTGGGGAAAAGATACTTCTCTTTTGATCTTGATTGATCGCATTATCTAAAAATCAGACTCTTTCTTTGTATATCTTTTTTTCTTTATAATACTGAGTTACAGTAAGTAACCCTTCAAATCTCTTCTTCTCATGAATTGATTTAATATGAAATGTTTTTTGCTAAAGATGTTTGAATTTGTTTGCTCCTGACGAAAGCAACTTATGTAGTGAAGTATGATCTAGGTGGTGCTGGAGCTTGCTTTTGCGTATCCTCTGTCCTCCTACTTGTGTCTCCCAACTTTCCTTTCCATTAGAAAAAAAAATTAGATACCTTTTTTGCTACATATTTAGATGTTTTCAAGGTGGGTAACTTTTAGAATGTAACTTTTTTATTTTATTTGTTTTTTAATTTTTATTTTATTTTTATTTTTAGTGAGGAAGATCAGCCCTGAGCTAACATCCATGCTAATCCTCCTCTTTTTGCTCAGGAAGACCGGCTCTGAGCTAACATCTATTGCCAATCCTCCTCCTTTTTTTCCCCAAAGCCCCAGTAGACAGTTGCATGTCATAGTTGCACATCCTTCTAGTTGCTGTATGTGGGACACGGCCTCAGCATGGACGGAGAAGCGGTGCGTCGGTGCATGCCTGGGATCTGAACCCGGGCCGCCAGTAGCGGAGCGCGCGCACTTAACCACTAAGCCACAGGGCCGGCCGCATAGAGTGTAACTTTTGATTTACAAATATCTTTGCTACTGACCAAGACTGGGAAGGAGGTAGAAATTGGAGAAATTCTCAGCTCTCTTTCCATTCTAGCTTTAACTAGTAAAGTAGAAATAAATAAAGAGAGAATATCAATAAATATCAGTAATATCAATAAACTGAAACTAGCTTTAGTCTGTATGTGAAATTTAGATTCTCATATGTGAAATTTAATTTAGCTCAGATAATACACCCCTGAATAGTAGCATGGCAAGCGTTTTTATTTTGAGAATCCTCTTTTTTTTTGTATATTTCCTAGTTTGTAGCTTATATGACTATAGTTTGAAAATTCTTCTCATATTTATTTTTTGTATTTATTTAATTTATTCAGATTATTAATTTTCTCAATTTCATCCTTTTTATTGCTATATAATTGGCATATAACATTGTGTAATTTTAAAGTGTACAACATGTTGATTTGATACATTTACGTATTGCAGTATGATTACCACTGTAGCATTAGCTAACACCTCTATTACGTTGAGAATCCTCTTTTAAACATATTTATGTGTATAGAGAACATAAGTTGTTTTTGTTTTATAAACATTTTGGATATCCTTAACTGTTCTTATAAAAATAATTTTTCCTGTAATCAAATGTAATTTTTGATGTTTATAAAGTGCTTTCTTCCATTCATAGTAACACTTTTTTAAAGGTAAATTGTCTTTCTTTAATAGGCTGTATGTGTGTGTAAGAACGTGGTTGTATTTGAACTTTTTCAATGAAGTGAAGCCTTTGAGATAGACGGTAATAAGCTATATCAGACTGAAAGTTACAAAGTATCAATTTGTAAATCAATATATTCTTAATGCTTCTTAAAAATATATTTAATTAAAATTTGAGAAAGTACATAGTTGTATGGTTCAAACTCCAAAACGTATAGAAACATATAAAGTGAGAAGTCACTCTCCACACAGGGTACCATATTCTAATTATTTTTTTCCCCAATGTATTCTTCTAGAGATATTTTAAACATATAGATCAAATACTGCATATATGTGTTCTATTATCACAAAACCTACTTTGAACACTGTTCCATATCTTGCTTTTTTTTCCTTTTGACATATCATGGAGATCTTTCCATAATGGCACAGTATTATTATACCATAATGTAACCAGTTCTCTTTGATGAATCCTTTGATTGTTTCCAGTCTTTTGCTATTACAAATGAGTAACCAGAGACCTACCTCATTCCATCAGTATGCCAGCATATTTATGGGATAGGTTCCTAGGGCAGAATTGCTGGGCTTATGTGCATTTATAATTTTGGTAGATATAGGTGTCTGCCTGATACAGAGCAGTAGTTTTGAACCAGGGGCAATTTTGCTCCCCAGGGAGACATTTGGCAATGTCTGGAGACATTTTTGGTTGTCACAGTTTTGGAGAGGGCTGTGCTTCTGGTATGTTTGAGAGCTGGTATCTTTTATGATTTTTGTGAACTCTTCAGATCCTTCGTTCATTTTCCCATAAGAGTATACGTGTCCTTTGTTCGTCATCAATTTCCAATACTTTTTCTCTGTCTGTCTTTTATTTCTGCATGGCAAAAACAATGTGAACATTTTTTAAAACATATTGTATGTGGTGGGAATTTCTAAGTTTTGGTTGGAAACGCCTTCCCTAGTTATCAGTTGTTCAAGGATTCTTCCGTGTTTTGGGGGGGCGCTTTTGTCATTTCATTTTTTGCATTTTGATCTTTGATGTGTTTGGAATTTATCCTTGTATAAGGTATAAATTCAACTTAGTTTTTCTGGATCACTACTTAATCATACTAACACCATTTAATAAATAATTCGTCTTTTTCTACTGATTTAAAATGTCATTATCACGTGCAAACTTCTCATATGTATTTAAAATATATTTTAATGGAATCAGTATCTCCAAGAGGTATCTGCACCCCCATGTTTATTGCAGCATTGTGCACAGTAGCCAAGATACAGAAACAACCTAAGTGTCTGTCTACAGATGAATGAATAAAGAAGATGTGGTATAGATATACACAGTGGAACGTTAGCCATGAGAAAGAAGGAAATCCTGCCATTTGTGACAACATGGATGAACCTGGACAAAGAAAGACAAATACTGTATGGTATCACTTATATGTGGAATTAAAAAAACAAAGCCAATGTCATAGAAACAGAGAATAGAATGGTAGTTTCCAGGGGCTTGGGGGAGGGGAAAATGGAGAGATGTAGGTCAAAGGGTACAAACTTTCAGTTATAAGATGAATAAGTTCTGAGGAGCTAATGTACAGCATGGTGACTATAGTTAATAATTATGGTATTGTAAACTTGAAATTGGCTGAGAGTAGATCTTAATCGATCTTAACACATACCACGTACAGAAAAAACGAGTTAAGTATGTGAGGAGATGGGTGTTAATTATCTTGACCTTGGTAATCATTCCACAATGTCTATGTATACCAAATAGTCACGTTGTATTCTTTAAATATATACAATTTTATTTGCCATTTATTCCTCAAGTTGGAAAAAATATTATAAAGAAAATATATTTTAATATCTGGTAGGATGGCAAAGTTAGTTCCTCCTTATTAATCTTATTTCGATTTTTCCTGGCTATTGTTTTTCTGTATGAACTTGAGAATTAGTTTATATGGTTAAAAAAATTGTCAGTGTTTTATATTTATCTCATTTTAGTTATGGATTAATTTAAATAGAATTGGTATTGTTTATGATGTTGAGTCTTCCCTGAGAACATGGGTGTGTGTTTGTGTGTATGTCTTAGGGATGTTTTAAAAGTGTCTTTAATAGATCTTACATTTATTTAGTTTATTTCTATGTCTTATTTCTTTTTTGTTGCATTTGTAAATGGAGTCATCTATTACATTTTCTAACCAGTTATTTGTATATATGAAAGCTTATTTTCTGTTTACTAATTTGTACTCAGTCACCATTTCAAGTTTTATCGTTTGTATTAGTTTTTCAGTTGATTTTCCGGTATATAACCATTATCTACAAAGAGTAATATTTTTTATCTCCTCCTTTCCAAATTATTACACCTCTGATTTCTTTCTCTTCTCTACTGGTATTTGTTAGAAACTCCAGAACAATATTATGGTAATGATGCTAAAAGACATTGTTAAGAGAATACTTTTTGTGGAAGTTTCTTATATTTTAGGACAGATGCTTCCTTATTTGCACTTTAAACTTGAGATTAACTTTTATTGGATTGAGATAGTTTTCTTATATTGGAAATATTCATCTGTCCTTTTTTTTTTTTTTAAGATTTTATTTATTTATTTTTTCCCCCCAAAGCCCCAGTAGATAGTTGTGTGTCATAGCTGCACATCCTTCTAGTTGCTGTATGTGGGACGCGGCCTCAGCATGGCCGGAGAAGCAGCGCGTCGGTGCGAGCCCGGGATCCGAACCCGGGTCGCCAGCAGTGGAGCACGCTCACTTAACCACTAAGCCACGGGGCCGGCCCCATCTGTCCTTTTAAAGAATTTTCATCAATAATGGATGTAAATTTGTTAAATGCCTTTTCAGCATCCATGGAAATGACAGTACAATTTTTTCTTCTTAAATCCAATCAAATGAATTATATGAGTAGATCTTCCCATCTTTAACCATCCTTGCATTGCTGGGGTAAACCCTACATGGTCAAGGAGTATTAGTTTTTAATATTCAGTGCTTTTTTTTTTGACAGGTGTATCATGTTCATTCTGATAGCTATGAAACACAAAACCAGCACTATGGAAGAAGCTTAACAAAAGAAACTCTAAAGGATGGTAAGGATTGAAAAACCATATTTCAATGCATTTATTACTGCACGGTTATCAAAATAATTCTAAAGTGATTTCAGTTTTAATTCTCCTTTGGTATAAAGATTCAATTCCCAATAAAGAAACTTTTTAAGAAAATGGACCTTAGAGCCACAGAATTGGATTAATTGTAATCTTTGGTTCATGATACCCAAAACCATGGGTCCATGAATGGCCCTCTTTTACATTTTCATTCATTTTTTATTTATTCGTATACTTAAAAAAAAAATAGCATCTGTGAACCAACCATCTAGTTCAAGGACTGGAACTAGAGGTGGTCTTTGAAAATCATGGTATATAGATCATAGTATATTAAAACTGCTTGTTACATAAGAGACTTTAAAATGTGTGTTATAGCATGTAATGTATTTTTATTGAAATTTCCCACATATAGTTGAGCTATATATTAGAAGCTACATAATGAATAAACAAGTGGCATTAAAAGTAGTTTAAATAAAGTCTGTTAACATATATGCTTCTAAAATATTTATGGTTAGATAAAGATATTACAAAAGCAATGATATCCTAGATTTCTGGAAATAATATTCTATTAGGAGTTTATTCTTAGTTCTACCTAAGGTGGGGAAGAGCTTATGTGTAGTGTAAAGAGTTTGAAGAAGAATTTTTATGTATAGAAAACAAACATCCACAGTGCGATCTTAACAATGTGATCTTGATATGTTTAATCAATAGCAAGATAATATTCAGATTGGCTCTTGATTAAAATATTTCCCAGGCTGATCTGAATAGATTTTTTAGCAATTTCTATCTCAAAGTAGAGGAACAAACTATTTAAAAGCAAAAATCAAGTTATATATACCCATAAATTCCCAAATATGATAAAATAGGCATAAATAACTTTAAAAGAGGCCTAATAATCTGATAGGTTAAAACATTTAAAAGTTTCAATTTTGAATAACATACTCAACCTGGAGTAGTGCTAATTCCCAAAGTGAGCATAGCTTTTGTGAAAAGACTGATTTAATCAATGCTATAGAGAACAAAAAATTTAGTACAGTTATAGTTTGGTATTTTGGTAATGGGCTGTTGATACCATTAAAAATGGTTATGGTTTGACTCTAGGTTTTAGATTAGCTCTTGAATGTGTTTCTAACAAACAAGTAATCTTACTATCAAATCCCTCACAATAGCAAATGAGGCAAATGTTGGAATCACATTCTTTAAGAGAATATATATAGAGAGAACTAAACTACCTGTAGTAAATATTTTTGTCCAAGTAGGATCTTTCACTTTACGTAAGTGTCATTTAAATGTTTTCTAGTAAGAGCATCTTCACCAGAAATCAAACTGAAGTCTGAATTTCTGTGTCTGACTAGAATTCGTATCTGTTCAGTTAATTGCAAGGAATGATGGGTAAAAAATTGCAGAATTATATCTAAGATGAGTTTACTTCCCAAGTGATAGCTGTTTCATAATTTCATTATAATGCTAATATTTTCCTTTTTATAGGAGTCTCCAGGTTTTTTCATAATGGATTTTGCTTAAGAAAAGATGCTATTGCTGCCAGTATTCAGAAGATTAAGAATATTCTGCAGTGGTTTGAAAGCCAGAAGCAGCTTAACTTTTATGCAAGTTCATTACTGTTTGTTTATGAAGGTTCATCTCAGCCAACTACTACCAAATCAAATGACAGAACTTTGGCAGAAAAGTTTTTGTCCAAAGGACAACTTGCAGACACAGATGTACTGGAGTACAATAATAACTTTCATGTGTTAAGTTCCACAGTGAATGGAAAAATAGAGGCGTCAGTAGGCAAAAGCTTGTCCAAGATGTATGCTCGTCACAGAAAAATGTATGCAAAAAAGCATCACAGTCAGAATTCATTGAAAGTTGAAAATATAGAGCAAGACAATGGGTGGAAAAGCATGTCCCAGGAACATTTAAACGGAAACGTGCTTTCCCAACTGGAAAAAGTTTTCTACCATCTTCCCACTGGTTGCCAAGAGATTGCAGAAGTAGAAGTACGAATGATAGATTTTGCTCATGTGTTCCCTAGCAACACAATAGATGAGGGATATGTTTATGGGCTGAAGCATTTAATTACTGTATTGCAAAGTATTTTAGATAATTGAATCCTTTGCTGCAGTCTTTTTAAGGGGTGGGGCGATCATAAGGAAGAACAGCAGCAGTCAATATCTCTGCACTTGTAATGCTATGTAAAAAATTTGTATTGTGAGTCTACATTTTATTTGTCTTTATACTTTTGGTAGAAGGGTTAACTTTTTTATAATCTTACTCAGGAAAACTAATTATTTGTTCATTAGAAAACTATGAAGACTAGAGAAACTTAGGAATGTTAAGCAGGGAATGTGGTGGTACATAGCTTAAACATCTATTTGGCTCAAGCAAAACGCAAACCATTTTTCGGTCATCAAGAGTTCAGTTTTCTGTAGCCAATTTATCATGAAATCTCTGTCCACCCAACCTTGACAGTGAGCCATATCTAAACTCATTGCATTATTAGAACTCAAAAATCTAGAAAGCACAGATTGAAATCCTTAGTATTGCTCTGTATGAAGTTATTAAAACTGGAGAAAATTCTACTTCAGAAATAAGTACTGTTTAGGTTTTATATTAAGAGTTAAGACCAGCATATCAAAGGTGCTTCTTAGTGAAATGATTTAGAATTTTGCATTTCAAAAGCAGAATTTCCCTTTAATTTTCATTCATAGTCATATTTCAAAATATTACGCTTCATGAAAAAGATAATTGAAATGGACAACAACAACAACAAAAGTCTTGAAATTAAGGGCACTAGTAATTATACTTGCCAGGATGAGAAGAGAGAAGTTACTTGCAAGGAACAAAACGTTTTCTTTTAAAATCGTTCCTTTATGGGAAACCTTACTACATTGTGAAACGTATTAGAAACCATATAATAGATTTTCCTCTAACTGGAGCTTCAAAAAAAGTGGATGATTGAAGCTTTGTCTTATTTCTCCTTTAAATAAATATTGAGAGTTTTTTCTTTTAAAATTCATATATTTATATGTCCCCATTTAATTAAGCAGTAGTGTAAGCATATGTTGCTAAAAATAGTCTTTCTCAGACTTCTAATAAGCAGGAAAAAAGGACAACATGCAGTATTGTGAGTTTTATCAAAAGTACTATGTATAAATTAGTGCATCATGTAGAGTTTGGTGCATATGTGAATCCATGCTTCTATTTCACTCAAAACAGTTTTATATCATATTCAAGAGAGAAATTATAATTTAATTTCACAGAGGGGAGGGCAATGCTATTTTTCTTGGAAAAATTAGATCCTTAAGTATTATGTGTTTCATATCCACCACCTTATAAAAAATAACTATTTGTTATCGAAAGCATTTAAAACTTTGAAATTAAATTTGCAAGTACGTTAGATATTTATGCTGTCATTACTTGCACTTTGATTCACTAATGGAACATTTAAGTAGTTAACAGTTTTGCCATATTCCTGGAAAATGTTTTAGAATTGTGAGTTGTTAGACTTCTTCCCATAGAATTAAAAATTAAACTTTTAAATCCAAGCACCCGTTTTTTTGGTGTGAAGGAAAGTATCACAATTTTATGTTTATCTCACCTCAATCCTCTCTGAGGGCACTTTGCAAATATCTGAGCACAAACAAAAGTACCAAATACTCTGAATTCTATGCCTAGTAAATCTAGTAAACCTGAATAACTTTAAAATTCATATGCATTTTGTTATAGCAAAATTGTTTTACATTTTTTATTTAGTGGCATCATAATTATTTTCCATAGGGACTTCCATGTTTTTCTTTACTGCCTAAATGGGTATTGGCTGTTCCTTTTTTTGTGGGGATGATTTCAAGTCATAATTGATAGTCAGAAATTTTTTAGATTTATACTTTTTTCCTCCTACAATATAGACTTTTGTTGTTGTTGTTGTTATCTGGATAGTGGTTCAATAAATCTTAAAGCTCAGATAATTAAACACTATTTTGAATCTTAACAAAACAAGAGGCTTTTTTTGTATGGGATGGTATCAGCCTATGTACAATGAATTTAATAAATTTAAGTATTATCAGATGTTTTGCACATTTTAGCTCAATAAAGTCTGAATCAACTGTTCCAGATTTTCTTTATCCATATTTGGAAATATAGTTTTGTAAAATCAGTGTCTTATTTTTTGATACAATAGATCCTGTTTTGTTTTGTTTTAATAAAACAAGAAGCGCTTTATCTTTTGTTTTTCAGGGAAGGGATTAACATTTAATTCTCTTTGTTTACATTTTTTATCACTGTTATCTGATGCTCATTTTATGTTACTTTATAAGTAAGCTTACATGTAACAGAGTAAATATCTGTTTATGTAATCTATATATGACTATTTTACTGTCTGTTCCAGTCATTTAATGTTATGCTGAAATTTACCACTGTGGGGATGAATAATCACTATTCACCAAGCATATTTAAACATTTAAATGTTTAAGAAATAAGCGTAATAAGGATATAGTTTGGGTTAATAGGATTATCATAGCTTTTCCCCCCTAGGAAGCATAAGTAATGATTTTAGTGTATTTCTTATGGAGTACGCTCATAAAAAGGACCTTAAGAAATTGTGGATAGTGAATAATACATTTCTCTAATAAAAATTTAAATTGTATAATAGTTTTATAATAAAGTATTTACATTAATTGATATTTTATTATGGATGGAAGTTGCACAGATTCAAATAAATTAAAAATTGATGATAAATGCAAAATATTTTATCTAAATAGTTTTTCAAGAAACAATTGTGAAAATGTGTATATTAAATGGCTCTAACATGGAGCTTGTGGTATTTTCAACTCACTATTCATTATTCTTTGTTTCATGTGTCTGGAAAGATTGTACTTACTATGCCTCTTTACATTACAATTTGCTATTGTGGGGCTTTAGATTGTGTTCAACTAAATAACTTTTTTCTGAATTTTGATTGAGTATAATTTACTATTTTATGATTTCCAAGATGCTGTTCTTTATATCATCTTTATAACATCTATATATCAAATTTACAACATAACTTAAGAAAAAGGAATTAATTTTCAGAGGTATTTCAGTGGCACTTATATTGTTTTATACAACTGAAAACATTTGTTTCTAGGATTTGGACTATTGTAGAAGATGTAGGATGAAAGAAAACGGTAGAACAATGAAAGAATTTTATTCATGAAATTACAGAAATTTTGTCCACTATTTTAAAGCGTTGTCATCATTTTAGTACCATTTTCTCTTGGCAGTTGGCATTTGATACTTTAAAACTTAATTTGCTTTAAAAATTGTTTATAGTGTTTTGTAATAATCTTCCTTATTCAGTGCCTTTAACCTTGATTTGATATATTTGTAGCTTCAGTTAACCTTCTGTTACATCCTACAATGTCTTCATAGCCTAGACATCAATTTCTTTTAAAAATTTGTCAATTTGGATTTGTAAAGAGGTAGCAATTTTCTATTAATGCTTTGGGAGAAGAAATAGAGTTGCCTTTGGAGGCCAGGCCTCTTAGTTCATTCAAAAATATTTACTGGATTTCTACCATGTGCCAAGCATTTTTAGCCCCTGAATATACAGTTGTGAACCAATCAGACAAAGCCCTAATCATTTCCAGTGTTCCTTCTAGATGGGGTGGGGTTGAGGACTTAATTAAAATAAAGATATAGAGAAATAAGCATTGAAAGATAATAAAGTTAAGTAGCATTTGAGTTTGTGTAAGGATGAGGTAATTATTGAGTTGAGATAAAGCAATTAACGATATGTTAGAGAAGTTAAAACTAATACTTTGTATTGTAACCTTTGACTTTTGAGTTCAGGTAGTAATTCTATATAGCATAAAAAGGCCTTAATTTTTCACTTTTCTTGCTGGTAAAGGTACGTTTACTTAGACTGTCCATTTAGAGTAGTGTTTTAACATAACATTACTGTGAAAAACATTCTATTACATATTCACAAGCAAATTACTGCACATTTTAAAAATTGCATTTTACAATTTAGTACAAATATTTTAGGCCTCAATCTTATCTTCAAATCATTGGTATTTTAAATTTGTCAATGAATATGAAATTACTTTTTGGCTTACAAAGTGATTGTATTGTTACTTACAATACTTGTTAATATTTTAGGAAGGTTGGAGTCTCCATTTTGGGGGATTTAATGTTTAAATTCTTATTTTGATAGCGTCTAGTAGGAGGAAATAGTACTCATGCGATTAAACAGATTAGAATATACTTCCAAAAAATTTTTTTAATTATTGAGCTTTGTCATTATTGGAGTTAAAAGTTGGCCTGGTGTTCACTTATATATTAACAAGTTTAATTATGATGTGAAATAGTCTTAAGTATGATGTATGATGCACCTGCATATAAATGAAAATGGCGTGCACAAAGACACTTTACTATGGGAGCTATACTGGAAGATTTATGAAAGCATGTGAAATTGCACCTAAGATTGTGTTATTAGTGACTATGCTAAATTTATTGTACTTGATGAATGAATGTATTTAGTCTAGTCAAAGTTACATATGTCTAAACAATGTCTCTTTTAATGTGTTTGTAATTTGTACTATTGACGGGGTGTTTTTGGACTGCAGGGGTTATTGTCAATGTGTGATTTGTGTTTTTATTTTATAGAATCATCTAATGTGATATACCGATTTTTATAAGTGATATTTAGATAATTCTAATAACTGTATATTTGACAACCTATTAAAATGTTTTGCATTGGAGCTTTTTTTCATTAATTGTAATATGCTAACAAACTTATGGTAATTTTAACTTATTCATTCAACAAGTATTTGAGTGCATGTTACGGACCAGAAACTCTAGGAATCATTAGGGATTCAAAGATGATTAAGACAGTATGTTAATAGAAAGAAGCATATGCATTGGAAATGAAAAAGTATGTAACTATTTTCTATGAATATTTATTTATTTTTCTATCATATGGACTAAAATCTTTGGAATCAACCTAATAGGAGAAGTAGACTATAGGAGAAACAAATTGACATGGCTATGAAATTATATACTATAATTTTAAAACTTTAGAAGTAGGTAAGATATTTTTGCATGTATTTTCAATTTCATGAATCAGTTACTTAATCGGTGACCAAGTATTCTTTTCATTCATTAATTAAAAAGAGAGGGCACTGTCAAATACCTACCCTTTACCAGGCACTGTATTTGGCTTTGGAGATTTTAAAAAGTTGAACAGGAGATTCAGTACCTGTCCTTGAGATATGGACTGTCTAGTAGAAGGAGAAAACTATGTAAATGTGGGATAAAATGTTATTGGGGCTATGATTGATACTTACCAACATCCAGCAGGGCTGTGGAAGAGGAAAGAGTCAGTTCTGATAGCATGCAAGAGGAAGAAGAGAGTATGTGATTTATAGCCTTTTAGTAATGGTGAGTCAAGGCTCCAGAAGATTGTATGGCATTCCTCTTTAATGCCTGCTACTGTGCACTGTGGGGAGGAGCAATACTGTGTGAAGTAGTTTCTTTTGTTAAGACTGGCTGCCTTATGAAAATAACAGGGAATCCCCACTGCCATAGTCCCTAAGTTATAGCTAAGTATAAGAACTAAATAAAAGCTGAAATGAAATAATAAAAAGTGAAAATAATTGCTTGGAGATTTTGTTAAAAATGCAGATTCTGATTCAGCAAGCATGAGTGGGATCTGTGATGCTCATGGTCCATGGACCACACTGAGTAGCAGGAGTTTCAAAAAGTTCTTTGGGGGTGGAGTGTGTGTTAGAACTTGGATCACTTTGATCCAAGCAACCAGAGCTGTTTGAAAACCAGGGAAGAGTGCTGAGAAAGAAATGAAATTTGTTTCAGAGAAGGAAATGGGTTTAGAAGTTGAGGAAATACAGCCAGCAATGGCTCGAGATAATACTGGCCATTCTCAATTGGAAGAAAAGTTCATCAGCTACATCAGGCCATTAAACCTTCTTCCTGCAACAGGTCCTAAGAATCCTGTGATAATGGACTTGTCTTTTCTATTGTTTGTGCCATTGGCCTTTTTTGTGTGTGAATGATGTTGCTTTGCCAACTGAAGAAAACATTCTGCATGTGCTTGTTAATTACGTTGTACTTGCCATCTAACAACTTTCTAGAGATGCTTTAGACATAAATGACATGCTACAATTGGTTTGGATACTCTGAAATGTTTTTTTTTTTTTTTTTTTAAAGATTTTATTTATTTATTTTTCCCCCCCAAAGCCCCAGTAGATAGTTGTGTGTCTAGCTGCACATCCTTCTAGTTGCTGTATGTGGGACGCGGCCTCAGCATGGCCGGAGAAGCAGCGCGTCGGTGCGAGCCCGGGATCCGAACCCGGGTCGCCAGCAGTGGAGCGCGCTCACTTAACCACCAAGCCACGGGGCCGGCCCTGGATACTCTGAAATGTTTTAAGTCAAATCTAG